GTTATTATTATTGTTATTATTGTTTATTATTATTTTATCGTTTTTATTGTTATTAACATTCTTTTTATCATTATTGCCGTTATAATAATAGTAATTCTCATAATCATAACTACTATTATTAATAGCATTGTTATTACCATTATCATTACTATCTGCTAAATGTCATTATAATTATGATAGTGCTGTGTCTTGTCGTTGTTTACTATGTTCATAATGTTTTTGTTTTTTTTCTTCCGGTTTTGTTACAGTTGTTTCTTATTTTAATTTCCAGATTGAAGAAATATCCATTGTCCGTTTGCCGCCCTTTTCTGTTTTTGTCTTCAAACAATTATGACGAGTACCCTGCGTGCTCGTTGTTTAAATGGCAATAATAGATGAACAAAAAATCGAGTCACAAAAAAAATAAACAAAATTTGAAATTTACGTTGCCTTAATATTGTCTTGTTTTCTGCACTGTAAGAACATCATCGTGGTTTATCTTGTAATATTTAGGACACATAAATAGATATAAGGGTCTTGAACATCTAGCTCTCACTGGCAAAATTGAGGGCAAGCGAGGCAGGGAAAGACCCAGAACAACATACTTAGGGAACCTAAACAAATTGGTAACAGGGAAAGATCAGGGAAACGTAGCTTTTTTTAGAGCATCCGAGCAAAGAATGAATGGTGAACCATGATCGCCGATTTCTATCACAGATCTGGCACTGGATGATTATTATTTAGGATGTCTTTTAAAAAGTTAGTCACTTCTATAAATCAGTGAGAGTTCTATTTTTAAAATTATTATAACTTTTGGGGGGAGGGGGAGGGGCGGTCTTTTGTGCATTTTAATCTTGTCAATGTTCGTTCTTTTGTCGACTTTTTTGTTGAGCAAACTCTGAGTGTTGATGCTTAAGGCTTAAAGTTACCATAGATCAGGCAGAAAGGGGAAGAGGAGGCTGCCCCGACCCTGCCACTAAGTGCCAACCCAGGCTAAGTAGGATGCAGCATTGTAACAGACAGATAGATCATATTATTTCTTTATGTGTGTTTACGCTTCTATCGACACAATTTGTGAAGAGTGCTGAAAAATGAGTTACTTCTCGGTTTCAAGCCTTATGGAAATAGATACATCACGCTTATAAGTATGTGAATTTTTTACAATGTTTTATAAGTATGAAATAATGAAAGGCATGTTATACATAAAGAATATAATATGGCATCAATAGAAAATCTACTAATCTGACCCTAATGTCGATTTGTGGATTGCGAGAAGTTACTCGTTTTGTCTGCACGCCTCACATTTAGATCATTTAAGGCTTCCCACCCTACTTTTCAGGGTTAGCCCGGAATGAGAGGGATTCGACATCCCAGCAGAAAGACCGAGATACTCGATAAAAGTCTTCGCACTCGTTGATCGAACTCGGATCTCCTGCTTGCGACAGAGAAGTACCTATCAACTACACCACAGACGCTGGTGAGAC